CCGCGCTGTGGCGGCAGAGTCAGCCCCGGAGCTGTGCTCCGGCCACATGCCAGCCTCCCTCTCCCACTCCCCTGGGGAGGTGGCTGGGCACCAGGTGTGCGGCCTGCACATGGCGGGCACCACCATACTGCTCCCCGCATTGTTTTCCCTCAAAGACTCCCTGCAGAGGGGCACCCCGCCCTCACCCCCTGGCCTTGCTCCCAGCTGTGATGTGCTGCCTGGGGCCAGCAGCACCCCCCACTCCCTCAGCCCCCAACCATCCTCCCCAGCCCTGCCCCACAGCCCCCAAGCCCCACTTACCTCTAGGATCCAGGGGTGAAGGGCATGGCTCTGTGGTGGCAGCGCTTGCCCACAAAGCCCCCGTTTCACCCCCCGGCTGGGCAGCACATATGTGGCCCACACATGGTTGTTGCCACCACACTGCTGCTGCCGCGCCCTGTGCCACTCTCATACAAAGCCATGCACGTGGCCATGGGACAGTAGCGCAGGGTGCAGTGGCAGAGTTGCGGTGGTGGCCTCTGTGTGTGAACCCCTTGTCAGGCCAGCTGGCATGAGTGTGGCCCACAGACTGGCACCCCTGCCCTCACCCCCGATCTTGCTCCTGGGAGTGGGCACAGGGGCACACTCCCCTCCTTCTTGATCTATGCCCCCAGCACTTTCCCTTTCCCCTGCCCTGCCCCGTCCCTTCTCCCCCACCCCACACACTTACCTGCTGGGGTGGGTGTCAGTGTCTGCATGTCTGTAGGTCTGGGGGGGCTGTTGCAAGGGGAATCAGGAGGGCTGTTGAGACTGTGGGGGGAGTGCGGGGCACCTGCAGTTCTGGGAGGGGCTGTGGGGTGCCTTTACTTTTTATCAAGGATTTGGGATTTTTAATCAGAGAATTTGCAATTGTTAATCAGAGAAAACCAGGATCCCTGTTCAGCAGTCATTTACAGATAGAGAGATTGCTGCCTCTTGTCATCTAAGATGTGCAACCACTACCAGGAGTACCTTCATGAAATTGTTTGGGACTGCTGCGAGGTTGAATAGCAGGCTATTGTACAGCAGAGGTATTTCTTGTGAAAAGGTCTGATTATTATATGAAAACATGCATCTCAATAGACAAGAGCTGTGAACTAATCCCCTCCTGCAGAAATGAGGTAATGGTGGTTAATGTGTCCATCTGGAAATTGATTTAAAAAAAAGCAAGTGTTGAACTTTCTTAGGTCCAAGATGGGATCGTTCCAATTTCTTCTTTGGGATAAGAAAATAACCATCATAGAACTCATCTTTGCTACTGAAGTATAGAGGACTTTACCATGACTAGGGATATCTGTGTGTCAGTTTGCCTATGAGCAGTCTTACTGACTTCCTCTAGTGATATCTGAAGGAACTGAAAACCCCATAAGTTATCTATGTGGTGAGCTGATGGAGGGGTGAGAACCTCTTCTGATAAGGCAGAGAAGAATGCATTAATCTATGGGAAAACATCCATTTCAAACCCTGATTTAGAGTATCCTCTCCATCTCGGGATGACATCAACAATTGACTGGGTGGAATCTGTAGGATCAAAGCCAAGAGGAAGGAAGTTGAAAATCCAACATATTCCCAATAAGAGGGAAAGGCTGATGCCCCCTGGCCAAAAGGTGCCCTACAAAAGTCAGTGATAAGCCCTGCAGCCATTGTGTCTGAACCCAGGAGGACTATCAGGACACTTTACAGGACCTGGACTATCATCAGAGTTGGCATAAAGTTGACTCTAATGTGTCAGCCACTATAGACAGTATTGTGGAAGCTGGATCCAAGGCTGGAACCATGGCTACAAGTTGGAATACTGGCAGAACTTTAGCCAATAGAGTCAACATTACTGGTTTCAAAGGCAGCTGAAATTTGCTTGACACTAAAACAGATCTGGAGTCTAGCTGATGAGATACCAGTGCTGAGTTGTAGAACACAGGGTGTCCCAGACTGTGGCTCACCCCACCTGAGGAAGCTAGGATCAGGGATCTCAACAACAGAGTGAAACTCAGAGGAAGACCCCTGACTAGAATCTCTAGAAGCTTCAATTTTATCATTATGAGGCCTTGAAATCTTTGAACTCGCTGAGTGGGTTGAAAGTGAAGCAGGCCTCCTCTTGCAGGTACAGAATTGGAACCTCCTTCAGGAACCAGTCTTACAGTTTTGGCCCACTGAAGGACGGTGTTATAACGAATCAGTGCTAAGCGCACATGGAATAGAGCCACATCTTGAACCCCAAGATGGGAGATTAATCCAATGGATTTGGCTTTGAGATAAAGCAACATCCTGGTCCCAGGTTCCTTTCTAGCCTCAGATATAAAAGGACCTGCATATACTTCCTAAGAACACAGGACTCTCCAAGGGAATACGGGGACTAAAAATGTCCATCAGAATTGGGTTTGACAGTGTTGCAAGACAAGCAAATTTTGAATCATGGTGTTTCCTCTCTCTCTCTCTTTTTACCAAAGGAAAGGAGGATGTTGACAAAAAATAAAGGTAAAGGCAAATTAGGAGTTCAAATATTTCAAAAGTGTTTCAACCAGAGTTTAGGCCTCAAATGACAGAGTGCTTCCTTTGCAGTCAACTGCAATTAATAGGAACTAAAGAATGGGAACCACACACTATCTTTTATCTCCTTGGCACTGAGCATGAAGAAAGGTAAGCTATGCGGGAGGAGGGGCACACTGTATGGGTACTTCTAAAGGCCAAAAATCTCTGAGCTCAAGTACCATGATGGAAGCATATCCACATGTATGATATGCTTGGGTCAATCACTTACGGAGGAAATTCCTTTAAAAGAAACTTTTGTGCTTGGGTTTTGGTTTCTGTTACGGCTTTCCAGAGATTTATGGTATTACAAATCAACAAGACTTCATTTTACAGCTCTATGTTTCAGAATTTTCTTTACCACTTTTAATATCTGTCAAAAGCAAACTGTACTTAGATGACTGGACTAAATAACATAAAATTGCAAAGGACAGATATATTTTTTGACATTCAGAAGCTGTGAACTGTATACTAACACTGAAACTATTATAAATAATCATTTACAAGCCCAAAGCTAGTGATAACTTTCTTACAAAAAAAGTAATGCTAGCTTATAGGAATT